GGGTGGGGAATGTCTGCATGCTGAATTGCACCATGCTGGGCAGAGCATATCAACATTGTGTGAAGTCATGGGTACTGGACAGAACTAAACTTTTCATTTAAAAATATTTTTTAAAGTTCCCACTCTTTGCTTCTCTTCCAACTGTGCAAAGTGCTAGTTTTGGCAGATAAAAGCAAGGAGCAAGATGGAAACTCTGCTGGCTCATACAGTAGGTTTCAAAGGAGTGCCGTCCCTTTTTTGCATCAAATCCCAGACACCCTTTTTTTCCTTCTTGGCTTCTTGGCTATGTTAAATTGCTGAATTTTGCTTCATTAAAATAATTGTTGATTGCATGTAACACTTTAGCTTAGTAGCTGCTCAGCAAAGGCTCAGCCACTGAAGATGGTAACCATCTCCTGTGACCTGCAGGTTAATATTTATTTCCTTTATTCAGGCCTCAGTGAGCCCTGATGGTCCACAAGTGCTGAGATCCACTCATCTGCTGGACATGTAGTCAAGCAGTTAGGATGGCCACATACTTGGAAGTCATATTCTAGGGGACAGTTTCATTAGGTTTATTAAGAATTCCCTGATTTTTTTCCTTAGGATACTCCAGATTCAGATTTTACACTGTCTTTAAGAAATGGCTCCTGTCATGGGGGTGTTCAAGGGCAAAAAAAAAAAACCCAACAAAAACCAGATTCATTCAGCAGCACAGAGAGAACTGGATATAACCTTTGCCAGATACAGTGAAGCTCCATGTCATCCTTGCCTGTAAGCTGTGGAATAGCTCAATTGCTTGCAGGACATGAGAGAGAAGGAAGCCTTCCTGCATCCAAGACAACACCCAACATATGCCGTACAACATATGCCCTACTGCTTGTGCTATGCTGTTTCAGTGACAACAGTCTGGGCTTTTAATTGTTGTAACCCTAATTAGTAGTGACAAATATTTTGGGATTGGAGGACTGGGGATTTCTTTATAGACTTTAGACCCCCTGTAAAAAGTTCACTCCTTACATCCACTCTAATCTTGCCTTAAGTTATTCAGCATATACATGTGGCACAGTAAAAGAAGCACTGAAGTGTGCTGAGCTTGAGATGGTACACTTTCCAAATCCCCTGCCAGCCTGGCTCAAATGAAATTTCTCCTGGAAATACAGCAGTTGTTGACATTCTCCTCCAGTGGGGAAAGGAGAGGTAGAGACAGCCACTGGTTTCATGCTAAACAAAGATGCATGGAAGGAAAACATAATTTATTTTGGTTGAACCTTCTTAAAGAAATTAGGTGTTGCTTGTGCCAAACTTTCACATCATAATAATCAGAAACATCCTTGCTCTGTCAGATATATCCCCAAGGGAATTGCATCCATTCCACATGGTGGATGAGACCCAACATGCCCTCCTCGATCTGAACTTTTTTGGCATGTGTTGTACCCAATTAAGAACTATTTCAGCCACCTCCAGCTTCTCAGAGCAGCCTTTCACCTGACTGACTCAGGCCTTCACACTATGCAGCTTCAGGGAAGGGTTGTGGGATCACAAAGAACACAGGAGTGCATCTCACCTCTGCTGTCTCAAGGTGGGCACAGGCCACCCTCTCGGTTACCCAGATGCCTCTTTTCCAAACACTGAGCAATGACACTAAAGCATGCTGTCACCATCCTGGACTCTTTGGCCATGGACACCCTCTTGGCAAGCAGGGGCAGGCAGGTTTGGATGGACTGGCGGGGGGTCCTGGGGAGAATGCTGGCTGCCTGTGGGATGAGACCTGCCCCATTCCAAAGAAGCCTTTGTGTGTGCTGCACTTAGGCTTTTCTCAGTCAGCTGATGCAAACCTTTTGTGTCTCCTGATGGGCTTTGTGTCTTAGAAGCCCTGCAGGGCTAAACCTGAAACAGAGATACCATGGGCCAGCCCCTCAAGTGGTGTAAATCAGCAGCACTTCTGTGAAAACAACTGAGTCATGTTCATTTATATCAGCAGGTGGATTGCAGATCCCATCCATCTTTTCCACCTGTTATACACTGGTTTACTCCCTCCTTGTTCATTTTAATAATAGGAAAGAGATACCAGGTTTCCTAATGAAATGCATTTTTTTCCTGATCCTCTTTTATTTTAATGAGGAGGTCTAAGATGAGAGAATCCTAAACCAAACACCTGCATCCCAGCCAAGCCCAGCCTGCAGATATCCGTATCACTCAGACCCATGCTGTGAGGCTGACACTTTGCCCTGCATTGGGTTGAAACAAAATCCCCTACATGAGTATGCCTCTAGTTGGGGGCTGAACATTACAGCACTTTTGCTTGTAGTCAAAAATGTCACAGCATTAATCCCTTTATGCAATTTCAGGGATCCTTTTGCCATCTGTCCTAACACAGAGGTGAACACAACAGCCGAGCAGACAACATTGCTGCTTGCTTCTTGCTGTCTTAAAACAGAGATTCTTGCACCCTTCTGTTTGCATGTCCCTGCCCATGAGGCCATTCCCCGGCGCAGTTATCCTCCCAGACAGACGGGCTTTGCACTGGGGACTCATCCCAGCCTGCAGGCGGGAAGATTCTGCAGTTCCCAGGGTAACGCCTTTCCCATGAGACGGGGGAGCTGCAGATGGAGGCCACTGCTTTTCCCCGCAATGAGACGCAGTTTCCATGGGGAAACCCAAGAGCAAAGTTTTGCTCTGTGCAAATCATGGCCATTGGTTTTGTTTCCAGCCCACCACCTTCTCCAGGGCAGCTGTCCCCTCTCCTCAGCCTGGCCTGCTACCGGCGTTTCTCCTTCCTGCTCTGAACACAGGAATGATGAAAAGAGGAATGTGGAACAGTGTTTGCTCCTCAGCCCTGCTGGAACCTGACGCAGGGAGCTGGCATAGCCCCAAGCCACCTGCCTGTGAGAAGATAACAAGAGGAGCTGCCTGTCGCAGATTAGTTAGAGTCTGACTGAATAGGCATTATATAAACCAAGGATTATTTGGGGTTTTTTTTCCCTAAGGAAGTACCCAAATATTGGTGGAAACTAACTTTTTTTTTTTTTCCTAAACTCAGCCATGTTGTTCTTCCAGGAATTAACATCCATATCTTTACCTTCTTCCTATAAAAAGGATTCAGGGACTGATAACTGCTTAGCGCTCTCTCTCTGGTATTCCTCAAGAGCTGCAAAATGACAGCTGTGGTCTTAGTCCCCCAAGCCATGTTGCCCTGCAGACTTGTCCACCCCCTGGGGGAGCACTGGGCCAAGCTTTACAACAGTGCATTTAAAAATAGTGATAATCAAAAATTTGATTTATACTGCAAAAAACAAACAACAACAAAAGATACATGTGTATCTTGAATGGTGTGTCTGCAGAGCTCTGGGAGGGAGCTGGCCATTGCCATGCTGAGCCCTGTCTGTGAGGCACAGAGCAATGGATGTGGCCTCTCCTGCCAGGCAGGACAATTGGCAGGATGACAGTGTTTCCCTCAGCCAGCTGCTGGTATACAGAACACAGACAGATTAGGCCGTGTGTGCTCATGCAGCTGAACAAATTATTTGGTGAAAGTCACACATCTCAGTAATGAAATGCTGCTTCTGTAGGGAGCAGCTACATCCTTCTGGAACAGCCCTACATGGAAAGAGATTAGAAATCAAAGGGAGGTGGGAAATGTTTCTCTTTTCCTAGAGTGTTAACTTGTTTAAAAATATTTATTTCAGATAGCCTGCTAATTTTTACATTTCAAATTTTTCTATATTTTGTGCTTACTCATTTTCACTGAATAATCTGTTTCTCTTGCTCTTTTTGTGGCTCTTTCTTTGAAACAGCAATCAGTAAGATTTCCTATTGCAAAGGAAATCTTGGCTAAATATAGTAAAGAAGAGGAGGTTGTTTAAGAGCTGCTAGGTATTCTACAGCTCTCTGGTATTCCCTGAATGTTTATTTCAAGCAATACTTTTTTTTCTTTAAGAAAAACACAGTTTTTCAAGAGGAAAGCTCACCAAAGAAATACAGCAACTGGTGCAATACCTGAGATAATTTTTCACTGTGTATCAGTAATTGCAAAGTCATCAGTATTTCCTATGTGGATATCCCTGTCTGCAAATGGAGAACACTGGCTGCAGGTCCTTAAATAGGTCCTGTAGGTCCTTAAATAGGTCCTGTAGGTCCTTTGCTCCTGAAAGCAGATGCTGCATGGTCTAAGTTAGGGAAGGAGTTCAGATGTGCAGGTGACCTTCCTTCTTCCTAGTCCTTGGTCCTGCCAGTGGGAAAGCTCACGTGGGTGACAGCAGGGCCTGAGCAGGGCTGACACAGCCACACTCTTGCATTGGCGGCTTGCAGGAGAGCACAGGGAGGGAAGGGAGACCCAGCAGGAGAGCACAGCCACCAAGCCATGAGGCAAGTGACCAAGGAGTGTGCCAAGGTGAGTGATAGCAGGGCAGGAACAGGCTAAACTGTTTCTGAAATTACTTTTTACCTAGACCTGGTGAATGCTGTGCAGCTGATACTGATTCACAGACTGTGGGAGAGACATCCCAGTTTCCACAGCAGCCTTGGCTGTGCATCCCTCTCAAGCTGGGTAGAGCTCTGCACCAGCAGGAGAACAGCAGAACAAGTAGCAGTGAGTGTAGGACAGGGCTTTGCTTTTACCAGCTCCCATGAAACTGGAGCCCAAGCTGGGTAGAGCTCTGCACCAGCAGAACAGCAGAACGAGTAGCAGTGAGTGTAGGACAGGGCTTTGCTTTCACCAGTTCCCATGAAACTGGAGAAAGGAAATATCTTCATGAGACCGGGTCCCAGGGCACAGCCTTGAGTGATAGCCACTGGACATCATTAGGCACAACTCCTCCTTGCCAAACAACTTTCCTGGGGCAAAACTGCAGGCACATGACATTCTATAGGCAAGCTCACCCCACCTGCCTCCCTTGTCACAAGAGCCTTGTGCCCCACTCTGGGGGAAGGCCCCTGCCTCTCACTGCCAGAGAAACCATTCCAAGACATCACTTACACCTCTGGATCTCTTCTGTCTGTTTGTCCCTCCCTCCCTCCAGGGAAAGTCTCTGGCAAGCAAGCGCCTCACAGGCCTGATGCAGTCCTCCTGACAGCTGCAGCCGACCGCCCCGCGGGAGAGACAGCTGGGACCACTGCCGGGGACGGGGCATTTCAGGGAGAGCAGGTCCCTGCAGGGGAGACGGCCTGAGCAAGTGGAAGCAGAGCCACACGCCAGTGGAGCACCTCTCTTCACAGTTTACACCAACACTTCCCCGCCTGCACAGCTCCTTAAGGACCCTGAGCTCTGTGCAGGTACTTTGTTTCCAACTGAGGTTTGGAGAACACTTCACCATACACGGGAGGTCAACAAGGCGAGGGCTTGCTGTCTTGTTATTTAAGGAAACAGACCCAACCACAGCTTGGAGAACGAAGAGCTGAGAGAGATCAGTGTTTTTCTACATCTCTTTTCTCCCTGGCACAAACATGACTGTAGTAAGATGGCGCCACAATCTCATTTACTCCCTTTCATGTGGCTGTCTGGATCCAATAAAATATCTGGATATTTTAGCTGGAAGCTGCTTCTCCTTCTCACTAAACCCCAAATGCATTTTGCCTGCAGATTCACTGACTTTGACTTGGTTTTTCTTTCCTATGTTTCTTCTCCTTTAAAACAATAAGAGAAAAAAAAAAAACAAATGCACTATTTTAAGTTCATCACTCATTGTCCTTCCAATAGCAAGTAGCACATCCAGAGATGATGGCCAGATCCTCAGCTGAAGTCAGGAAAGCAGGAGTGGTTTTCATCGCCTGAGGATCTTCCCCCTTGAGTCAGACTGATCCTGGTGCAAATTCTCTGACATCGGCGGAATCATTCTGCATGTGCGCGTAGTGCAAATGTGATCGGACTCTGCCTGATGCTCAAAAAGAAATGTTTGAGATGTGCAATGCACACACACACACACACACACAGTATTTTAAAGTGAGTCGGTTTATATTTTATTTAATTTTCTATTTATTTAAGATTTTGCATACCTAATCAATGATGGATGTTCAAACTTTTCTCCGAGCAAACCAAACAGGACTCCAGCTCTCCAATTGGAGAGGGCCAAAATCCATTCACTTGTGTCCAGGGAAAGGCAACTCTGATGTGGGCAGGTGTCAAAATTCAGCCTACAGTGCGGAGGGAATTGTTGGCATGAATGGGCAGGGCACTGGGAGCCAAGTGACCCACCCTAAACAGCAGCATACCCAGCTGTGATATCATGCTCAGATAACTGACCCTGCTGAGAAGCATCATTCTGAGAGTGAAATTGCACCATTGGAAGAAATGAGCTTCCACTAAAACTCATCTGACCTGCAGCCCATGAATGCAACAGCAAAAGATGGCCCAGTAGCTTGTTTCAAGCTGTTGGAGGTATGGCAGTTAGGATGAGGACAGGACTGAAGTGACTTTATTATGAAATCTACTTATACTAGCTGCAGATAGGAAAATGGCCTGCATTCACATACAGTATACTATCTATAAAAGGAATTTCAAGACTCAGCTGACTCACAAAATCTCCTCTTTTGTAAGCAGTTCAGATCTGAAGCATACATGCAACTAGACATTTCTTGGTCTTCTTCACTCATGCCAAGGCAAACTGGCTTTTTGTACAGGTGGTAGAAACTGCTATATGGCTACAAGTCTGCATTCCTACCTAGACAAAACCATCTAGCTAAGTAGACAGCTGGCTATCAACAACATTCACTTCTGAAGCAAGTATTATTCTAATATCTAAGGCCTATGTATGCACAAAAACATGCCAGCATAGTTTCTGTCACAAAAAGAACCTTCATCTTTGCCCATGACAATTCTCATTCTCATATCTCCTTTCCTTCCTGCAGAAAAGTCCTCATATCAATTATACCTAAGGTCCATTCACCTGCATGAATGTACAGTAGACTGAATATGATCTTTGTTCTTTACACATGCCTACACCCTAAACAGCCTGCTCTCTGAGGCCTTCAGACCAAATTCATCCTACATGAAACACAAGCAAGTTCCAGGACTGCAGAACCATAAATGTCCCTGACATTCTTGTGGTCCTTTGCCTCTGAAGAGGACATTTGGTTCCCTCCAAATTGCCACTTAGCTGTCCTTGCAGGACCTATTTGTCCTCTGTTGCCCACCCAGCCCAAGGGTCCCCTTGGAAAATAGCAGGTCTTTGTGTATTAAGTTCACATGTCCATTCATGCATATGTGCCCCCTGGGTCATCCCTAGGAAAACACAGAAGTCATCTCTTCTCAGAGCCTTGTAGATGGTGTTTTTATCTCTGTCAAACCCTCCAGTGCCATGCATCACTGGAGCTCTGTAAACCAACAGCTGCTCACCCTCCAAGCTACTCTGCTCCCAGTGCTGCCCAGCTATAAGGCATTTCCCATGGGAGATCTGTCTTGTGAACCCTCCAACTGGTCTGCAGAGCATTCCTGAGCAAGATGTACATATAAAACATGAAACTGGTGTGTAGCAAGGAGCAGGGATAGTAAAGTGGTATATGTGGTTCTCTGCTTTGCAGTGAGTTCCTGACAGTGGAGAGCTTGTATCCTGGGAGAAGGATGGGGTAGCTCTGCAGAGGTACTCCTCAGGTCCTGCAGCACGGGGACACACGTGGGCAGGACTGGAGAGTGCTGGTGGGTGATGGGACAGGTAGAATTTGGGTTATGGTCTGTGCAGGCAGCAGAAATGCCAGACTTTAACCTGGAGATGTGCTGCTGCCCTGTGAGCAACACACTCTGCTTTGTCTTTCAGCTTTATTCCTGCAGGACGGTCATGCTGGCTGCCACAGTATTTTGCCTGTGGGGAATATTCCATGTTTGAACAGTTGAGCACATGGAGGGAATTCTTACAGACACGGAGAGTGTGCATATGGGCGTGCATCAGGGGGCCTGGATGCTGAACAGCTTGCCATTTAAATGCACACTCGTGCAAACTAATCTGCTCAGCAATGGCTAGCTGAGCGGACAGAGCTGCATATCCTCTGGAGGGAAGAAAGCTCTGCTCCTCATTTCCTGACTAAATTTCTCCAAAGCAAACATGAGAGTAGACAAGGCCTCCTCCTGGGAATACATATTAACCCTTCTTCACATGTCTTTTACTTCACATATGGTGATACAAACATGTAACTACTTCCACATGAACCACATCCTTGAATTATTGCTTTTTAATGACCTTGCTTATTCCAAGTGATGCTACTTTTGTACACCCAGTGGTATCCCATTGAGCACTGCAAGCTGTAATCTGCTGCTTTCTAAGTGTCCGGTGTCTTCCAACTACCTCATCATGCTGAAGATGAGTTAGGAAATCAGCTTTCCACCTCTGTTTATGTTCTAAATGGCATCAATTCGAGGAAAGACAGTCTGGAAAGCTTCTACAATGTCCCAGCTGTGCAACCTAGCTACAAAACTACCCATACTTACAGGGGTATGGCTGTGAAATATGGCTGTGCACTGTTATTTGGATAATAGAGTATCCAGAGCACTCATGGCTATTGTGGCAAAACAGCAGCAGGACAAGCACTAGGAAAGGTTCGACAAGCCACTGCAGGCAGCGTTAGGCTGAAGCAAATGGATTAATGTACTCTCAGTATAACTCAGCACTAAGATCCCATAGAGTACTGTAATAAAATGGTAGCAGGGCAGCCATAAAAAGTGGCAGTAAGCTGACATAATAATACCAGAATAAATGTAGCAATAAGGTAACACAGGCCACTGCAGTAAAGTAGCATTTTGATAATGCAGCAATAAGACACAACAGGATGCTGCAGTAAATTAGTTTGGGGAATAAGGCAGTAATAACAGCATGTGTGGACAAACAGTGGTACATTTGTACCAGGTACTGCAGCAATAAAGATAACATAAGATGTCCTAGTAATAAGTTACTACAGTAACAACAATATGATGCACTGTAAAGTTATATCAGGATGCTTCCATGCTGCAGTCAAATCCTACAAGAGGTGTAGTGAGACAATGAAGACAAAATATACCCCTTTGCTGACTGCAGAATGTGAATAAGTTTTCTGCACTGTAACCCAAATTCTGAAATTATCTCAGCAATACCAATCTCATTCCCGCTTTCAAGGAAGCTGAGGCAACAGTGTTCCCCCACCCAGACAATTATTTTGGTCTGAAAATACAAAATTGACTCATTGTCTCTTCAGCCAAATTGTGACAGACTGTGGTGAAGTTCTCTGTTTAGTCCTACTCAGGTGAAACCCTGGTGGTTTTGGTAAGTCCTTTGCCTTCAAAAGGATTTGGCTCTCTCATCTTCTGGCATGGGTGATGCTTTTAGCCTAAAATTATTAATGGTTTGGGTGGGAGAAGGGGAACCCAGGTACAGAACATCTGACTGTACCAGTCTGTTTCCTAAAATGCACAAATAAATGGAGCATCCTGGAAAAGTCAAAGCAACAAGGACCAAATCTGTTCTGTCTGTCATGCACTCATGCACACAAAAATAATCCTCCTGGAACCAGTGCAAGCCCTGGGTGCATCCATGGGCAGGCCTTGGCCTAACCCTGTTCTCAATGTCCCCAGCAGAATGACAGAAGCAATGTGTCTCTCCTTTCCTGTTTTTCCATTTATTTTTTTTAAATCTAACCTCACCCTCTGTATGAAATGGTCTTGGAAAAAAATTCATTTGCCATAACACAATATGCAGTATCATGGGCAAGGAATAGGTCTGTCCAAGGAATTTGCTGTCTTTGTACTCTTCAGTAGAGGGGTAAAGCATTCTGAAAAATAACTGGCAACCACTGTTATACTCGATAATCATCAGGAATAAGGGTTTAGTCAGAACATCTACGTCAACAACAAGACTTGAGTGGAGTGTGTGCTAGATCACAAGATGGTCCCCTGGGAAAAGGATGTAAATAGGGCATGACTGCAGAGTCTTAACTAGCAAGAGCAGCTCACAGCTTCACAAGTCTCAACGGATACAAATTTTCTGCTACATCTTTCTGACCCTTCGCACAACAACTTTGCTATCCCTTTGTTTGGCTTCTTCTGTCTCTAGGTGACTGCTCAGTTCAAGTTTGGAGCAGTGCTCTGATACACCTTGGCTTGGCTCTTGCCTTAAACTCCTTGGCTTGCTTTTATTGGTTTAATGATTAAGCAGGATTATTAAAGCAGAGCTCACAGTAGGGTAAGATAGGCTAGGTTATCATGATTACATCGTTTAAGCTGTGAGCAATTTTGAGCTTCTCAGCACTGTTTATAACCTGAGACGGGGAACAAGCGACGTGGCTGCTCAGCAGAACAGTGAGCTGGTGAACAATACACTATCTTCATGCCCACACGTACTTTGAACTTACTGCTGAGGAGAAATGCTTTGTAGTGAGAAAAGTAATCTCACGGCAGGGGAGAGTCAGACCTGATCAACTTTTTCATGTGATACAGATTTTGCTTTGCCAGCCCCTAGCATCTGCAAAGCTTGCAGCTAAGAGCCAGCAACCTCCTAATCCTGCTGCTAAGCTTTGGAAACAAGCTTTTCAAAGGCTGTCTTTACACAGCAATGCTATTACTTGAAGGCTTTTAATGTGAATTTATGGCTATTGCCACAAGTGTCAGTGTAGTTGCCCTCTGTATTTGAAACAGGAAATTGTGGATTCACCCCACACAGAGGGTGGATGTTAGTGGGCAGAATTTAGGGATGCCTTAGTACCTTCCTATCTGGGGACCCAAAAGATATGCTGAAACATTTCATCTGGCAAAGGACAGCTCTCTTGTGGGCAATGGCATTGTTCCTTGGATATTGCTATCTGTCAGCAGAGATACTAAATGGAGCTTCTCTCTCTCATCTTTGGGGACTTAAACCATGCCATCCTTACATAAATAGTAGGTGACAGCTAGCCCTGAGCAGCACCTTCTGTAGGTGGAGTGGGAATAGCATGGACTGGGATTTCTGGAGTGGTTGTTTCCTTTGGATCCTCAACAATATTTCTCATGTCCATCCATGTGCAGGTTACTCTTGCATGCTGCACGGCTTCACAGCCCAGAACTGTGGACGTCTGGTTCTTGCCATGGTTCTACATGAGCCTCATGGATTAAGGCACACCAGATTTAAAAAAAAAAAAAAATCAAATTATGCTTTATACAACACACCACTTCTCCTAAAAGCATCTGGATTCTGGAATTTGCTCTTCGGGGATCATTTGGGGCCAAAGGAGACCCTGTGGGATTTTCCTCTACAAGGGAACAATTCTGAAGGGTCTCCTGCCCCTGTGGTGTGACTGGAGGCAGCCAGAGCTGCTTCTCCACCAGCTCCCGATGCCGGCAGAGGGCAGGGCCCGGGGAGGGTGGATGGGGCCGGGAGCAGTGGCGTGGGCGAGGAGCGCTCGGGAGGGCAGGTGGGCTCTGTGGGTCCGAGCTGCACACGGGGACACGGGCACCATCCCGCACTGCGGCCCCGGACCGGAGGGGCAGCGGCACCGGGGCAGGCCGGCGCTGCCGCCCAGTGTTTGTGACCTCGCACAGGACGGAGCCGCTCGGGGTTCGGGCCGGGCCGGGCCGGGACCGCCGCGGGGAGGGCCCGCGCCGGCCTGGGCGCTGCGGGAGCGCGGCCCGGCTGCTCCCCGCGGGCCTCAGCCCTTCTGGAGGAAGCTCATGGTATCCAGCCGCAGGGACAATGCCCGGCCGCAGCTAACACCGCAAACAAAGCCTGCGCGCCGAGCTTGGAAGCTCGGTGCCATGCCAGGGCTACAAAAGGTTCCTGGTTTGCTGCAGCGGGTGTCCGTGCTGCTCAGTGGCCCTCAGTGCCCGCACCCTCTGGCACCAGCGCCAGGCTTGGCTGTGCTCCTCCCAAATAAGCCGGAAAGCCGCCATCAGCAAGCTCGGTGCGCTGCTTCAGAGGACAAGACCTGTGGCTCTCAGGATTTGAAGGCCCCAGAGATGAGCAGTGTTAGCAGCCCAAGCCCTCCTCCCCAGCAAGGTCACCTGCCGAGGCAGGAGGTGTGACTGCCAGCGACCCTGCTCGAGGGTTGTGCTGCTTCCCAGACCTGCCTGTGACCCCCACGCGGGAGCTCAGAGCTGCTGGGCTTTCATCCTTCAGGAGCATCTTTGTTTTCTGTGTGCCATGTGTCTCTGCAGGATGTGTAACATTTGCTGGTTTTGCAGGAAGGGACCGGTACAGGCCAGGGAAATCATTACCTTCCTCAACTAGACCCCTGCTTAGTGCACACAGAGTCCATTGTTAATATCTTGGGAGTCAGACTCAGAGAGTTGCAATGTGCAGTCCCTTGTCTTGCTTGACAGGCTTATTTGCTTTGTGCATTTGCCTTCAAGCCATCCTGCAGCTCTGCTCATCAGAGCATCCCTGCTCCTCCACCCATCATGCTGCCAGCACACCACATCACCATTGTCCTGGATCTTCCCCACATCCCCTCAGCTTCAGCATCTGCAGTTCTCAGCTGCCCTTCCTTAACTCTTGCTTTCCCTGACCTCCTCTTAGAGAGGCTGGTCTGTACAGCTCATGAAGGGATTGTTAAACGAATATTTTCTTACAAAAGCTGTCTGAAGAATCAGTCTATTCACTAAAATAAATGCTCCTCAAGGGCTGCCATTTGCAGGGCTACTGAGCTCTGAAATTGTTAAAGTGGGGTGAGGGGGATGCATAAGTGGTTTAGATTCACCCCTCTTTGAATCTCAACTCTACACTGCAACTGGGGCTGTGAGCTGAAGTATATCCAGAGCTCAGGCAAGGGCAGCACCTTGGCAAAAGCAAGTTTGTAGCATTTGCCTGCATACCATGTTCAAGACTGCCCAGCTGTGCTGTCACCTCTGGGACATTTTCTTTATGTTTGTCTATCAGTGCAGCTGCATATGAGTTTATACAGACTCAAACCCTTCCCTCAGCTGGTAGAAGTCTGATACCATGTTAGATCCTCCATGCTGGGGCACAGAGAGATTTGGGGCATGGTCTGGACAAATCAAGCTAACTAGACCTTTCCACGGTCTGAAAAAAGTTTGTCTTGCCAGTTTCTTCAGTCAGCCCTGTACATGTACTCCTACATCCAACACATGGGAAAAAAAAAAAAATCTTTCTGTGCTTAGTGTAATAGATCATCCACTGTGGGCCACCTGCAAACCCTATCTTGCAACTAAACTTCTGACGTTCTGCATGTCATGCATTTGGATAGGTATTACCCTACCCAAAAATGGCTGTCCTCCTGTGATGACCTGCCTCTGGATTCAGAGATACTCTGCCATGATGCTGAACTCCTTTCATGGACCCTGCCTTCCCCTCTGCAAAACTGCCCTCACAGCCAGAGCTGGGCAGAGCTTAGCTGCCTTCTGCCATCCTTTAATTAGAAACTTGTCAGAGCTTTATGAAAAGCAGCTCAGCAAACCAACACTCTGAAATGTGGAAACAATGTCGAGAGCAGTGCTAGGAAAATAGGAAATTAAATTCATAGTGGGTATTATTGACCTGGGGTATTATTGACCTGATGAATATGGAGGCAATTCTGCATCACCCTAACAGTGTTTGGGGGTGACCTTTCATCTGCCAGGGCTTTGAGTTCTCTAATGGGTCACAGGAAAATGTGCCTGGCTGCAGGTGCAGGGACCTGGATCAGCATCCTTCCCTTGGCTCCCTGCCTGTCAGGGCATCACTGGAGCCCACTCTCATGGGACTTGGCCTTCCCTCCCTGACTTCTGACCCAGCAGGCAGTTCCCAGAAACAGTCAAGTCACTGTGTTAAGGTGATCCTGCCCTCACAGTCTCTTTGTTTCTGGGGAGCCTTAGGCAAATCAGGTTGCAGAGTATACACAGAACACCAGAGTCTCTATGTCAAATGAAAGGACAGTCCAAATGGAGAGAGAGGGCAAGAGAGAAGGCTCTGTGTTTGCATTCATCTCTGACATGATGGATTCCCCCTTCCTGGAAGCAGCCTTGGCATAAATAAAGCCAGTAAAGGCTTTTATGCAAGAACTCCCTTCACTACCAATAGTCCTGGAGTCATAGATAATAAAAGACCTGGCAGCTCATCTTGCACTGCTCCCTTTAATCAGCAGGATTTTCCCTACTGAATATTCACTGAGGTTGCTTTATCTAGCACACCTCTGAAACCTCCATGGATAGGACCTTAGCAGATGCCCTCAGGAACACATTTTTCCATCTTGAAACATTTACTGCAAGGAAAAAAAGAAGTCTGATATACAACATAAAATGTCATCTCTTGAGTAAGTTTAGAAACAGGGAGAGCCATCTGTAGGCCACAAATAGCAAAGGTGTTTAGCACAATAGATTTTTTTTTCCTTCAGTATTCCCTTTAATGTATTTTTTCCATAGTGTTGAGTTTATTGCACTTTTTATCAACATCCATTGCTCATCATGAACAGTGTAAATATTTGTAGATTATCATGTCTTGTTTCAGCCTTTTCCCCACCTCAGACTGTAATGGCTGAGGCTTTTCTCATATGCCAGTTTTTCAAAGACTGCTATTGATTTTCCTGCCTTTGTCTTTCTTTAAAAGATCATTCAGGAAAAACATAGTAATGTGAAAACAGAAGGGCTGTGCTTGTCCATACAGCACAATTACCCAGTTTGTGTAAGTGGGGTATCACCCTGGCATTGTGCTCTTTGTGGAAAACTGCATGCATGTGTCACACATGTTGTGGTGCAACATATTTGTTAAATCTATTTATTGCACATCTTTGACCACTTTACCTACACCTTCATCCCACACTGCCATCTGTTCTGTGGCTACCACCCCCCATCTACTCCCCTGAGTACCTGTGGAGGGCTGCCAGGAAAATGGTTCCTCCTTTTCTTGCCAAATTTGGAATTTCAGTTGCAAATTTACCCTAGCAAGAGTGCCAAGGAGAGTCAGAGTCAATGCCAAACCCACTCTAGCTTTCCTGTTGGGCACATTTTCAATTCTGTCATCGTAGCTGAAAAGGGGAGCTGACTCCTATCAGAAAGGGACATGCTCAACATTGCAAGAGGGATCAGCAGTTGTGCCCAGTCCATTATGGGCATATCATTAAAGGCTTTAAAAATGTAAAATCTGTAGTAGCTGAAAAGAATTCTATTATTGACATACATAGCATTCTCAAAATCATACACATTTGTCTTCACAGCAACTAGTGCACCTGGCTGCAGAGTGAAGGTCTTTTTGAAAACAGTTCCAATAAAACATGTTAAAGCCATCTACATCACTCCTGGAATAATTTTTTTCAACAGAAAGATCTTGTGCAATATGCACAGGGATTTTTTTGTTTGCATGAAATGCAACCATCCTGCAGCAGTCATGTTAAGAGAAAGCTTTATATAACACTGCTGTGTGAAGTTTTGACCATCATACTTGGTCAATACATATACAATATATAAACAGATATTCCCAAATTCAGAGGAAATACCTGTACGGACTTTCCATGCACAAGTTCCCCATAAAATAAGACAAATGTGTGTTTTTTCCTGTAGTGTGCCCTGCAGGACCTCTGGCACAGAGATACCGTGTGTTCCCCTGGTGCTGCACGAGCACTGCAGCCAGGCAGACATTGCTGATTCCCAGCCTGCTCCTGGTGACTCATCCCAGCCGAGCAGTTGTGTGGGGGTGCACTTGAAATTATCCTATTTACTCATTCTCCTGGAGGACCACAGGAGCACCCACTGCACTCTGCTGGCAAAAGATACAGCAGACTTCACCTCAGCAGGGCAGAAATAGGAGGTGCACTTTGGCTGATGGAAGATCCCCATGGAAGAGGAGGTTGAGAAAGAGGTCCCAGTGAGTCAGTCTCCTTCCCATTTTATCCCCATCCTAGGAAGCAAGAACACAGCTGATGAGCTGGTGGCTCAGAAAGCCCTTTGATCTTCCTGGCCTGCTGCCTTCTCACCATTTCATCTCCCTTGAGGCTGCTGAGCTCCTTCTTGTATAAATCTTGGCCATCACCTCCTGCCTCTCCAGCTTGCTTGGGTAACAGCCTGGATACAGGATCATTTCCTTAAGATACTGCTTCTCTCAGGGATGCAATTCATGACTGTCACAGAGGGGGATACCATCATCCACGGGCTCATTACTG